GGGTGGGAGGGAATGCGGGCGCTACGTACTCAACAGTCACACCCTGCCCACATTCTGACGGCGGTATTATTGGGGACTGGAGCTTATCAACTATAAAACATTGAAGGATATCATCGTGGAGGGAATAGGTAATGGGGATATGGGATTGGACATATCAGTGGGAGGATGTCTTGCATTTATGTGGACTAGTAATGGCCTATGGAGAAAATCGGTGGGAACGCTGAGCAGAGGCGCATCAAGGCTCAATCCAGGTTACAATGGGTGGAGGGGGTGCCTAGAATAGCGCGAGCGACGATTTCGCAGTATATAAATGGAATTTAAACGAATTTACCTCTTAGCTGTCTGAGCAGAAGTATCGCATCAATGTGCTGTGCCATGAGGTGAATGATGCGAAGCATCGAAAGTGAGGCGAGTAAATAATTCTGTTGGATTTGCCCACTTGCCATCTTGGGATTAAATGGAACTTGAAGCAGTTCCCTTAGGGGCTACGGCTACTGCACACTAAAAAATCTTTGGGTACACCCGCTTGTGAGACTTAGCAGGGATTCAAATTGAAAAACTCCTGTTTGGTCTGGATCCCAATCCTCCTGTATTGCGGACCGGGCGCCGTTCACGCAAAACTCGGATTGGCGATACTGTCATATCAAGACTTGGCGTCGACCACGCTAAAACGGCAGGGAATTCAGTGTTGGAAATAGGTGGCGAGGCCAAAGCCGCTTCTTATCTTAACAGGGAGCTGAGTCCGTTGTGCAGGCCATACAACCCCTACCCCTTGTCAAGTGAGACGAGACAAACTGCAACAGTACCGGTACCTGTATGCCGCAGTCCGACTCGTCCCGATTGTAATTGACCCACCCACAGAACACATGTGAGTCTGGTACCTATGGCACCATGAACTGCAGCGGATGAGAGATGCATATGCATGGCGAGGTTCCGGCATGTAGGTCCTGAGTTGGGGTTAGATCGGTCTAATTTCTCGCATAAGCAGCGAGGGGAATTTCCAGGGGCTCCTTTCTTAGTAGAAAAGGCAACCAGTTAGGTCGCCATGAGGTAGTGAGTGATGGATTGAAAATCGCCAGTCTGCCTGCCTTCAGAGGGTGACACTACAGACACTGCCGAGCGGGGAAACGATGTAAGTGGTGATACAGTACTTAGGTACAATCCCAGGAATATGAAGTACTCGCCATTTGAAGATGACACTTTGTCAAACGAAGTGCCCCCCGAGACTACACTAGAATCCATGGTTATAAGACAATAGCTGACACTAACCTAGGTACCGTGCGTACTCGGTGCTACCTACAAGATAGGTAGCCGCCCCCCTTCTCAACCTTGAATGGCAATTTTGGAGTATGGCCAACGCCAGGTCGTGCAGTTTCTCGGGGCAATTGATGTCTGCCTACGTCAATTGACTACAAGATCAACCAAGACTGGTAATTCGGCAAGATGGCTGCATCGATTGATGGCCCTCGGGAGCGAAAAACTTATCCCATTATTACATTATCCTCAAAGTTGTTGGATGTCTTGTGTGATGTTCCGAGCATTGCTTTTCTAACGATGCAAGGAGCTTCTGGAACAGGCTTGTATTAATCCCTGGCGGAAGGCTGGCTTGGTCTCAAATCCCCCTGTTAGTTCGCCCTATAATCCATTAAACCCCGGCTAACGAGTCTACAGACAAACTGAGGGTAGCCCCCCCCTGCTTACCTGAGGTTAGCGCACGGACGGTACATAAGTTATTGGAGTAGTACTTAGCTACCCGGCTATCTTACATACGTTTAAAAGTTACCTTCGGTGCTAGGGCAGCTACGCCGCGAAAACTACAATTTAGCTATTCTTTTTAAATTCTTTGACCTCCGGGGGGTATGCGCTTCGCGCCGACCCCCACTCCGGAAAAAAAGCGAATATGTTGTCGTTTTAATCCGCCGTTCGCCCTACAGGCTCACGAGGCTCGCTATTCAAAATTACCGTAAAAAGTTTAGCCTACTCTGTGGGCAGGTCCTTAAGCACGTGACTTAGGTACTAAAGTGGAGTTACCCTCAGGTTAGCAAGGGGGGGTTACCCTCAGTTTGTCTGATTCCTCCCGGCTAACCAACCCACTGGGGATTCCTTTCGACTCCGCTATGGCGCCGCTATGGCGTTGCAAGACCCGCCTATCACGGCCAACTTGGGATAGATAGGATGGGCTGTGACAGGCGCTAACCCGATTGCGGGTTTAATGAGTCAGGTGATTTCGCGGCAGTATCCCGTTCTCTCAGACGCGTGGGCCAACGTCCATCGTCACTTAAGCGTGTTTGCCTGAAGATACGGGCTGCTTTTCATTACTACTACAGGCATTCACGCAGCAGTGCCGCCCCCCCGACATGGGTCGCCCACTATATAATGGGCGAGGCCCCCGAAAATTCCTCCTCTTCTACTCATTCACACAGAAGGGGCTTCAACAGGTAGGCAAGTCATCTCGTTTCGTCGTCTTCGTCATTTGGGCTTTTTATTTGCATCGCTTTCATCACATTTCATCGCATGACAATCTACCGTAATCGACCGAGTGCAGTATTTGGGCTCGATTACTCAGATACCGAGTCAATAGCAACTTGCGACCGAGGCATTTCTCTGCATCTTCGAACCCTGATAACCCATCGGTCGGAGATCGAAGGATCGCACACATACCCCCAACTCTACACACATTCACCATTTCAACATGTTTAGCAAACGCTTCGATCCACCTCCGAACAAGAGCTTCTCCAAGGGCCACAAATCGAGCAAGTCGAGTACGTCTTTCAGCAAAAGCTATGGCGTTACCAAGACTCGACATGAGTCCCGTCGTCGCTTGACGACGTCCATGTCTCAACAAATGGACGCAACTATGTCGCCGGATAGGTACGAGTAACTCATCTTCTCATTTCATCACTTCACTTCTGACATGTCGCGTGTACACAGCAACTTGACCTCGTCCATCGTGACTCTCGTCATCGGTCGGGACCAGCGAATCTTCGCAGCACACGAAGATGTGCTCTGTGCATCGCCCTGGTTCCAACAAGCGCTGTCAGAGCAATACATGGACCCGCATGGTGGCAAACGCATCCACCTGCCAGATGACGAACCAGAAATCTTCTCGTCGGTCCTCGAGTATCTCTACAAGGGTGACTATTACCCGCGATTAATCCACAACAAGCGTCGCAACTCGTGGGAGATCGAACAGCTCGATGAGGAGCGTGGATCCAGCGAGTCCACCATCTATCACCATGCCATTGATGGCGACATCCTGAAGGACACCGTCATCTACTGTACGGCTGATAAGTATGGGATGGAAGAGCTCAAGCGTGTTGCGCTACGGAAGCAGGGTCTTCGTAAGTCCACATCTATACGTTCCCGTCGTCCCCTTGGACACATGCTGACGATGACGACGATAGAATCCGGTATCCAATGCAGCACCATACTGGCGTCGGCCCGCTACGCATACACCAACACACCCGACACCGACTCTAAACTCCGAGCACATTATCTCGCTCTGATCATCCGTAGCCGCAGCACCTTCAAACGCAGCGGCACCATGCAGCTGGAGATGTATAACGGCGGAACACAGCTGTTCTTCGATCTCTTCGTCGCTCTATGTAATCATGTGGACGATATCTCCTCCAGTGCTTCGTAAGTGTCTCGCGCGGCTAACCTGTCATTCCCTCGGCTAATATCAATTTCACAGGAACACACCGCGGAGTAATCGCCACTTCTTCTAGACACCCATTTTAATCTCCCCTTTGTTGTGATGTCTCCCCTATGTCCACCTTAACGTTCGGTTCCCATCTCATCATTTGCGGACCTTATCATCATCGCCTTCTATGTCGTGGGCGACGAATTTAATGATCAGCGTTGTGCTTTTCTCCTTGCCCTTCCTCCCTATCTCGTTGCTTGGGGGACGCCCGGCGGATATGCTTGATTTCGTCCTTTCTTGGGCTTGGGCACATTAATACCAATTCACAAATGTGGCGTTCTGGTGTTTATCTCCATGGGAGATGGATTTGTTTTTCGAATTCTTTTCCGTTCCGTTCATGACACCCTGTATCACTATCATACACCGACGCCGTTTCAAGCAGACAGAGACGGGACAATAATATCTCGTCGTCGTGGGTCTGCATGTTTTTTTGTTTTTCTTATGGGTGACGTTGTTTTCCGCCCGAGAGATACCTGCGAGAAATACCAAAAAGAGTAAGGTCGGCCTGGAAGGCTGTGAGCGGACTTCCGAAGAGACGGAGATTATCCAGACTGCAAAACTGGAGGGCCTCTTAGCTTTTTCTCGTTTTATCTAGTTTCCTTGTCACGATTTGATTAGGATCATGTACCATTACACTTCTAGACTATCGTTCACATAGGGGTTCACATCCTTCCTCCCCAAGAGAAGGGAGGCAGGCGGGCGAAGAAGAGACGGGCTCACTCTTGAAGCTACCAGAGAAGAAGGCGAGATAGTAGGCTCGAAGAGATGAATTTGATGCTTGATGATGATAGATTGCCGTTCTTGTATATACTATTCAAATAACCCCATGATGCTTTGACCGACTTTCGTGTTTGAGTTGCGATTAAGACTACCTACTTCTTTCCTAGACTTGCGCTTGTTTTCTCTGAGTGGCACGAAGGTAGTATCAACCCGTAGTAGTACTAAGTAGGTATTAACGGTCGGGTGTTAGTGCTACATGGGGAAAAGGTGGATTCTCGAATAAACCGTAGTCGGCTTGGTACACGCTGGATTTTCAAATAAACGCCTATTTCCATTCCGCTGTACTGATTATTCCACCAGCGCAACGCGCTAAGCAAGTTTCACAACAAATTCCCTAACGCCACGCTTATTATACAGCCAAACCTCACTAGTAGCCAAAGCTACACCAAACTTTTACTCTCGCGCATGTTAGAATTGAGCAAATCTATAGCGTTAGACAGACAGTTATTGCTCTCTCTACTATTGTGGAATCTCAACTTGTATAGGGGCAGACACTGTCAATTACAGTGAAATGTCTGGCTCAATGGTCTAGTGGTATGATTCTCGCTTTGGGTTGCCGTCAACTATGCGAGAGGCCCCGGGTTCGAATCCCGGTTGAGCCCAACTTTTGCTTGTATGTGTTGAATGTATTTATTTTATTTTAGTTTCCGCCTATTTAATCGCGTTATGTCCAGGTAGCGAGCAAGCGAGCGAGCAACTACTTAACTTGTCAAGGGAGTCCGGCTGGGGTAGGTAGGGGGAACGGGTGGTTTGCTGCCCCACTTACCCGAATTGTGCGTAAATGAAGTTAACTACCTGCTACATCTACTATGCATGAACTCATATTTAGGGTTTGAATATCTTGCAGGAGCATTAACCGTAATTACTGAAACGAGGGACGGGATTTTGGTGTCCTAGGTGACTATCCAGTATTGCGACTTGTCTAGGTAGGAGCGAGTTCAGCAAAACACGTGCGGGTGGTTATTCATTTGCCTCGTCGCTGTTTTGCTCTCCATCAATGAGCTTAGCTACGAATAGTCGCGGCATGAAACCCAGACAAGTTTCTTATAAGCGTCATAATCAATCCCTTCCTTCGTCAAAGTCTCTCTCTCCCTCTCTCATGATTTGCCAATTCCAAACCTGGATTGGAACGAGTCACTATAAAGTAGTAAAGTACCCAACCCCGGTTGCCGGGGATTTAAGCAAGTGCTTGCATTAGGCTCCCGGGATGTCGAGATGGCTGGGCGGTAGTCTCACTAATAATAAGCCCGCCGCTTAGGATGAGGCGCGCGGGCGGAGTGGAGTGTAGATATCTTGGTCCGGTAGGATCCCATGGGCGATGACTCTGGGATGAGTGAGTCATTGCTGTGAATACTACGCTGCCGCCCTATTCGTACTGACGAAGGAGGGCAGGGTTTTTGCTTCTGGTGGTCTATGACTAGTTGGAGTAGATAGATGGAGGTGCACAAGCGTCAGCGACAAAGAAGGATGCTTAGATAATGTTCGTCTTGCGTTGCATGGAGAGTCCTGCCCGCTTCATTCGTAGACGCTCGTCTTGCTACAGCGGCGATACGGCTACATGTAAGCCTGCATGACAGCCACTTTCCTGCCTATACTATTTGCCCTCTCCTTGCCACCCATATCTCGTATGATGACCCCGACTCAGGTCTCCTGCAAGGCTGTCCAATGGCGGTATCTGCATTCTCAACATGCCGACCAATGATAATAATGGACGTGCGTCGTTTGCCCTCTCGCCGTTGCCACGCATTCGCAGTGTCCTCACGCGCATACGTGCATCCTTCACTTAAAGGTCTCGCAATCCCTATTGACTCATACCCCCGTTCCGGGAAAGGCACCAGATTTGCTCAAGACGACAAAGCCGCGTTCGTGTGCGATGTATCCTTTCATGAGATTCTAGATTGTGGTCAGAATTAAAACCGGAACCGGTGATCAAGCCCGTGCATGATGCGTGGCTACGACATACCTTGTATATCATGTTGGCCATTAGACATTCAACCTCGTCCGTGTCAATGGCCTCTCCACCACTCATTTGTACTGCTGCTGTGAACTCGGTGATGGGAATCCTCGTCCTCCGCACAGGTGCCGCTCCTTCCTTGGCCTCTTCGAACCCTCCCGCTATGAATACCTTGCGTAACAAATTACGCAACACGATGTCACGCCCACGCTCCAATGTCAAATAGACGCGACGCTTTATAAATTCGTCTTCACCGTCGCGCAAAGCGATATCGAATGCCCGCAGGTCAGCTTTCTTGATAGCACGAGCCAATGGGGTGAATAGCTTCTGTAGGCGGGGAAATGGCTCGAGAAGCTGTGCGCTGGGCAGTGTATGGGTTGTTAATAGGCGGCACGGAACAAGATAAGTTAGAATAAGCCTATAGAAAATTAGGACGAATGCCATTAAACGGAGGAGTGAAGATGCATACTCGAGATTTCGTTGCGAAGTCTTGTGACACATCAGCCATGCCATCTCGAGATGTTTCTCGGCCTGCAGTTTCGTTAGTCATTGTTAATATTAAATTGGGCAATATTCGGACCGCTAACCTCAACGTAGTTTTCCTCCAGAAAGGCTAAGACACCTTCATAATACTTGAAGGTGACCTGCTGTGACTTAGGGAATTTATCGATCGGGGGAATATCAGCTCGACCAGCCGATATCACTCTCAAGATATTCTTCGAGAGCGGTTCTGAATGTAGCTTGAAGTAAGTCTTGAACAGAAGATTAACAGCGTAGTATACACCCCATTTACGAGATTCTTCCAAGGGGGCCCTGATTCGTATTAGCGGGAGGCATGGATGGTATTGAATAACAAGGAGAAATCACCTGTCCGAGGCGCAGGTCTGGAAGATCCTGTTCAGATGCCGTGCGCAATCTTCGAGACTCTTATGCTCCTCTGCTTGGGGATCGAAATCGTCTTGAAGGTCGTCAACAGCCGTATCCTCATTACTAAGAGCCCTCTCGGCATCGGCTCGCATAGCATATAGTCTCAAGTATTTTCCAGTGACGTAAAGACACGGGATGGTCCAATTTTCGAAATCGTGGTTTGTATAGCCTCTAATAGTGAGTAACGTGACTTCTTTCCATGCATCGTATACTCTGGCCCATGTAGACTGGCTCAGTCAGCGGAAGTCCCGAGGCTCACCATATAATAAGGGCAATGAAGCCTTAGACACAACGAGCGCAGCTAGGAGAATTCACATCATCTGCGAAACAGGCTTACCTTGGCATCACTTCGCAAGCCTTCAACGGCTAGGATCTCCCCTACAGCTTTCCAATAGGCAGTGTATATGGCATACCAACCGCTCGTTTCTTCCTTAGAGAGCCTGGTACTGAAACGGGCCTGGTCTTGATGAAAAAGGAAGTTGAGATCGGATGTCATCGATCGGGGATCGCCGCGACCCCAAATTGCCTGTAGCTTTGCTGAATGTGCTTGGATGTCTGGGTTTAGGGTCTCGGCCAGCTGTTCGCCGTTCGTAGCAGCATATGCCGCCCGGAATTGGCGAATCAGGCCATCCATGGCCGAATCTGTGTAGGACTTGTTGACAGCAATGAAGTTGTCGGTTTCCAGCTGGCGATTGCCAATGTGTATAGAATGCGAGAGATAAAGAAAATCGTATTAATTCTTTGTTGTCATCTTTGTCGAGGTCTTAGGAAGTCATGCACGACAACCTTCTAATGACTGCCAGTGGTGAAGCCTGAAGGGACGCTTTCTTTGAAGTCGGCCACCCTGATTGGCTCAATCCAATGCGCCTACAGTACGGACTTGTTGCACACAGGCCAACCTGCCTGTCCCAGCGCCGCGCTACCTTGGTGGTACCTATATACATCTATACCCACTGTGCATAGCCCACCCAAGCTTAGCCACGGGCTCCAGCCACGGTCGGCACACATCCACCACCTGCAATGACCCGGTTTTTGAGCACGGCCACACAGCTCTAAACTGCTAGGGCGGGAAACCCTTAGCACAGAATTTCGCAAAAAGTTCTCGTAGCCGAAGAAGTGCCCCAAAGCAGCCTCCACTACACGAACCCGTGAGCCTTTGCCCTTCATACTAACCTCCACGACAACAGGACCGGATTCAAGTCACAGTAAGTTGCAGTCTGTGCAATGTGCATTCCTTCAGTTGCTGACAGCTCTCAATCTCAGATGGGTAAGCGATTTTCTTTCATTCGATCATGCAATTGCCGGCGCTTGGAATTCGACATGGGCGACCGCCCCGACAATACACCACCACGGAGGACCTTTACACGACTCTATCATCACGATATAGCGATACAGCTTTTCACCTTGTGCCCAGATGAATGGATGACACCCGGTTAGAATGGCGGGAGGATTGAAGAATGGGAATGTAGCGGGAAGTGAATGACCTTGGCCTGGAGGGACTGTCGCCGTTCTATCAATCGATGGCCTGGCTGCAATTCTCTTACCTGCACGCTGAGCTACGCCGCAAGATTATCTCCGACGGCCATCTCGACTCGAGCCACTCCTTGTCAATCGATTCAACCGCTTGAGACTGTTTGCCACGCCATACTACCGCAACAAGCACTAACTAGATGCTATCAGGTCGCCTTCAGGAATACCAGGTCATCGGGCGCCACCTGCCCACCGAGGCCAACCCCACCCCGAAGCTGTACCGCATGCGCATCTTCGCCCCCAATGAGGTTGTCGCCAAGTCCCGCTTCTGGTACTTTTTGATGAAGCTGAAGAAGGTCAAGAAGGCCAACGGTGAGATTGTCAGCTTGAACAAGGTATGTCCAGGCTCCCGATGGGATCTAGGGGTATATACAAAAGCACCAGAGGCTGATGCGTTTGGATTAGATCAGCGAGAAGAACCCCCTCCGCGTCAAGAACTTCGGTATCTGGATCCGATACGACTCCCGCTCCGGCACCCACAACATGTACAAGGAGTACCGTGAGCTCTCGAGAACAGATGCTGTCGAGGCTCTCTACTCGGACATGGCTGCCCGCCACCGTGCCCGCTTCAGGTCCATCCACGTACGAAGTCTTGGGCCGATAGTCGAAGAAATAGCATCAGCTAACATAAAACTCAGATCCTCCGCGTTGTTGAGGTCGAGAAGACCGAAGATATCAAGCGCCCTTACATCAAGCAACTTGTCACCAAGGGTCTCTCTTTCCCCCTTCCCCACCGTCTTCCCCGTATCAGCAACAAGAAGATCTTCAGCGCCACCCGCCCGTCCACGTTCGCATAAGTTGGGGGTTTCTCGTGTTATGTGTGTGGTGGGAGGTTTATGGGAAATGGTCTTTGCCCGGTGTTCACTACGGAATTGCGGAAAATATATCATGACGATCGATTCAGCATGAGAGCTCTCAAAGAGGATAGCCCAAATCAATGAATGAAACCCGAAAAACACTTACACTACGGAATGTTCTGAGGCACCTGTGTGAATGATAGGAACACGTAGGACGAATACTTCTACTCGAGGTTTAATATCTATGCCGGAATGGGAGTAGTCTGATATCCTCTAGTGTACATTGCGATGCCGTCCTTTTCCACGAGCCTACACTGGGCTCGGATGACATGGTCATATACATCATATGAGTAGAGCTAAATAATTCCGTAGGGCATATATTCCCGAGCATGCT